TGAAAATCCAAAAGAATCGAAATGTCCATTAGAATGACTCTTCTATGGTTATCACAGTAGGACTTCTTCACTTTTTTGAAGACTAAGACAATCAGCGACTGGGACCAGAGAGGAGTATATCTCATTCCTATGCGCTAGCTAATAGTAACAGTGAGCCAACGCCGCTATATACCTCTGCTGCTAGCCCATCGGGGCTTTCTGCCCTTTCTTGTTTCTGGTTACTTGCAACCTTAACTTCTGTAAGAGTTGGAGGACATATTTCAGACTTCTATACAGGGCCCAACCGAACGGCGAGTAACCTAGGTCTAGTTGGAGGACAAGTGAATTTTACCTCCAAGTGTTTCACTCCGCATTTCGATGAATCGCAGACCCATCGTTTCCCGCTACGGTCTCACTATCGACCTTTATACTCCACTTTCTTTGATAAGTCTAAACCACTGTTGTGTTACATAACACCACTGCCTTTTTCATCTCATTAGTCGTCGCTGACGCCTACTGCTTATGGTCACTGAGTAGAGTCACATGGGCTAAGTCTGCTCCTCATTGTGCTCGGAGTTCGCAGGAATGTGTTCACGTGCATCCATTCAATCAGAAGAATCTTTTAGGAACTATTGCCACTTTCTAACTTTTTTAAGCGTTGATTACGGTCTTTAATGCTGTTTTTGATAGCAGAATGATGATGGCACCAAGCTTTTTCAGAATAAGCTCTATTCCCATAACTGTCTAGCCTGTTCCTCATTGAAAGCAAACTTAGTATTCACATCATCGAGCTGCAATCGGAACGGTATCGCACCTTCACTTGTTCTACATCAATTTGGGCGTACATACGCATGCTCAAACCAACGCATGATCACTGTCCTAACAAGTGTTCCATAGGAAGTGGCAATCCTCCACCGAATCCAACCCGTGACAGATGACAGCAACGTAATCTATGTCCAGTTTTCGAGGTCGGTGGATGCCACGCCAAACGACCTATGAGTATTCGAGTAAACAGTCTTCAAAGGAGTTGTGTACTTACCCGGTACCCATCAGAACTCTCGGTTGACGGAGTCGAATGTCATCTTTAAGTCAAGAAATACAGCTAGTGACGGGCGTTGGTGAGTGTGCCCGTGTTTCAACGAAATGTGAATTTCTGGTCAATACACAAACTTTTCTAGAATCCCTCCAATGGAGATGCTGTTACTTGAGTAGAGGTAAACACCACTTTGATCAGCCTGGGTTTAGGGTAATAATCCTCTTAAGGTATCCATGAGACTCTCTGAGCTACCTTAATTGTAAGACTCAGGAATTTCCACTCGTCCTAATCGTGGTGAATTTCTTCAGCATCTGAGTTCCCGGATATTCCTTGTAGAATCAGATTCTTAGCCCTAAAGCAAGCTTCATAACTATCACCTGGGAGCTTCTTTACCGCCACTCTCTCGGAGTGCAGGGTATCTAGTACATTACCTTCTGCTTTTAGTACATGGGATGCTAACAACATACTTCCAACATAATCTCAATTGGAGAAAACAAAACTCAAAAGTCAGAAATTTTCCTTATTTGTTCAACTAGGACCACATGAAAGACTAGTTGCAGCTACTGGACTGTGGTTTGCTTGCGTATATATTTTCCTGAGGAACTCTACCATTCTCATACTGAAAGCTATACGGAAGATCAGGATTATCTCCCAGGTTAGTGATGAACAAAGAGTCACTTCGAGCCATGTTTTTTCCTACTTCCCGTAATACCTAGGTGGTGTTTAGCTTTCGGCTTTTCACTTATTTCGGCTTCATACACTGGTAATCAGCCACTTGTTTCACTAACTTGTGGCATCCTATGAGTCTCCAACAGTCTGAGCAGATCATATACAATGTTTGGGAAATTATTTGTCAAAAAAGTTTTTATTTGATGTCTGTGCCTAAATTATGAGCCATTAGGAGCATATACTACTGCACAAATTGACTTGGAAAAGAACTCCCTTGCACTCAGAGCATATTTCTATTACGTTTTGCTTTAGAACTACTACATATTATTGCATTATTGTATGCCAAATCTCTATTTAACTGAACTAACTACGCAATCTTAAATCCTAGTTGTGTAAGCGTCAATATAACTTCTGAAGCGTAATGAAGGATTCACTTTCTTGATAGCAATCTCCCTACGAAAATCAATGCATTAGAAGAAGTGTATTTATTTTACTTTTTTGCATGCAAACATCTGGTGGTTACTGAGGTAAATAAGTAAGTACATATATAGGCAGCATCGTCTCAACTACAGGCGGTGACTCAGATGGAGACGTTAAAACCAGGATCGCAAAGACAGCAAGACAGGCGTTCATCAGCCTGAAACCAGTGTGGAGGTCTTCTGCACTCAGCATAAACAACAAGATCCGGATTTTCAAGTCAGTGCTTCTATGTGATGGTTGAGAGACTTGACGCGTTACGAAAAGCATTTCCAACAAACTACAGGTATTCATCAACAACTGCCTACGCTGGCTCGTTACTGAAACTCAGATGGCCAGAAAGAATAAGCAACAAGAAACTCTGGCCTGACAACGAACCAACCAAGAACCTATCACTGAACAAATATGCAGAAGGAAGTGGAGATGGATTGGATTGGGCATACACTGAAAAGGCAGATTGCGGACATCAAGCGCCAGGTCGTCGAGTGGAACCTAAATGGGAAGTGACGAGTTGGGCGTCCGAGGTGAGGGTGACATGGAGGAGATTGTATGAGGAAGAAATGAAAGCTTCTAGGCAGACGTGGAGCCAGGTTGGAAGGACTAGAGAGAACAGAGTGGGATGAAGACGTTCTACAGAAGCCTCATGTTCCACTAGGAACCCAACGGACAAGTAATAATAATAATAACAATGATACAGTGCGACGTATTGAACTGTCACTTATCTGTTATAGGATGACGATAATACCTAAACCTTAGTTGGTAAAATGAAGTTGGGACCTTACACCTTAAAGATTATTAAAAAGATAACTGTGTATAGCATCATCTTGGTTCCCACGATTTTGCTGTCTCATAAACCTGGATACTTGTGTGACTTTCTATTTTATATAAATGGAAGATTAACATCGCATTCTCCGATACCCTTATTTATGATTGAATTGGACAATGTCATTCCTTGATAATGCTGAAGAGATAATCTATGGAATTATTTTTCGTCAATAGGATTGGGGGAAAAGATTTATCATATGTTCACTCCTACAATGGTTCGCAAGATTCTTGCTTAATTATTAAACATCATAGAATAAGCTAAGATTGATCAAAAAATTTCTCCTGGAAAGAATCTATCTGTTTTTAACACAGTGTACGTATACCCTTCGTGCATTTGTTGAAGATGTTATTTCGCTGCTCGAAGACATCACTGATTTCATTCTTAATTAATGAGGCGTTTGAAATGTGGGCAAGGATAGAAGTTGATCTCGTATTGTTTTCTGTTGGCCACCGAGTTTGATCAGGTCATGACAACTACTAGTATGTGAGCTACTGCAAGCAAAAAGAGCGGGAACATCTATTCAAAAAAGACATTTTAAAATGATAGAGTCATGTTTTGTGTTCGGAGGTTTCGCATGTACACTTTATCCAAGGTAGCACATAATGGCAGAATGAATCCTATGAACTACATGGATGTTGTAATAACTGATCATTTAGACAGAAAACGTAGAGTCTAATACCTAGGACTGATAAACCAGTAACCACAGTGAAAGAGAACCTAAGTGGCATAATCTGTTTCTCTGGAATTTAAGTTGGACGGTTGAATATATACTTCACTTATTCGTTTTTATCAACTTGGCTTATGCAGATCTATACATAATAAAGGTTCAATTACATACTACTTGAGGAAAAGGTTACCAATAACGCGAACCGACTGGACGCCGGGTGTAGCTAAAAAAAGGCAATTTTGAAGGTCGACCATTTTTAAGTTTGTACCTTGTTTGAAGACAAGTGTGATTAGTCAACCTGAGACCTAGCAAGGGTCAATTGATGCACGTGGGTTTACCATATTGCTTTTTCGTCCGATTTCCTGTTTTTTTATATTTTCTTGGATATTTCTGCTTTCTAGAGACGTCAAGTACGTTTTTATGTTACATATGTAGCGTTAGTGTAGTTGCTTTGCATGTGACGTATAATATGTGAATCTCTTGTTTCTGTGGCTTCTTATTTTGAGTATTGTTGTCCCACTTTTACGCCTGATAATTGTTTATCGGCAAGTTGTTTTATGCTGATAAATGTCCTCTCCAACAATATTCCGTTGAAACGGCTTGTAGTACGTTTTTATCCCATGAATGCTGCTTCTTGTAGAGTTACCACTGTTTGGTGTAGGCCAAAGTTGCAAATAGCTAACTGTATTTTTATGAAAGATCGTGAAAATCTGGCGTGTGTTACATTTTAATTTACAGTTGCATGCAGCCTTCTTACTCGCACACTACTTCTTAAAAGTCAGGAGAAAACGATGCCACGATCCCAGTGACCGTGGATATCAGAAGGGTATATAGTATAATGCGTACTTGTCAGTACTTAAGCTACGTTCAGATCACTGACACGCTTGAATAGTCTCAGAAGGTATACATCTTAGTGTTTTTGAAACTTGCAGTGTGCGTGGACATATTATATATTATTATGTAGTGTGCAACTATAGTTACAAAGTGCAGATGAAACCGTATTCTCGACATAACGGGTGTTAACAGTACAAGAACTCATGATCTTGGAATTATCCTCACCTCTCAGTTGAGAAATGTGTAAATTTCTGTATATACACATTAATCTACCATCTACCACTGCTTACACACACTATAGCCTCGTCGTAAACGTACAGATACCTTCAAAATTGCAAGAAAGTTGGCATAATTTTTATCTTGGTTCGCTAAACGCGTTTTTTGTGCTGGTTTGACATGACTCACTACAAAGCCTTGTCTCATCCTTAAAACATTTTAAGGATAGGGCTATAAGTTTTACAACCGTGCAGGACGTAACAAAATATTATTAACTATTATTATAAATCGCTTACCTTCCACTGAGACAGCTAGTAACATATGTGCGCTGGCCGAACACAACAGCAGTATACGAGCAAAGGGATAACAATTGTAGCGCACTGGTTAAGCAGGTGGTAAATTTATCTGAAAACATATTTTCTAGGAAATTACAGCAAAAATGCCTCAGTATTTGAAAATACTAGCAAAAGCATCAAATTACCAGTTATTTGGACATGAAAGCAATGTTTGAGCTACACTCGGCGTCGCCGCAAGGGCCATCATTTAAGCAACAGTTATCCCCGAAAAGAATGTAACCAGCCTCCGTTTTCAGAAGGCCTTCAGAAAGATAACTGAAACGATTTTCTCATGTTGGGTAGTATAGGAAACAGGATTCAGTCTCGTTGATACGGAGCAGTAAATGGGAATTGTTGTGGCTTAAAAAAATTACAATTAACATCGTACTTTGTTCTTCTCCAATCTGGAGGCAATACCACTGTGTTCATTTTCGAAAAACAGCTGTCAAGCATAGTTTTTGGTTCTTTTCGGGGATCACTCGCCAAGAAACATCTTTTTTGGTCTTTACATAAGCACTTGGAGCATTCGGTTAAAATTGCTGATAAAGTGAGAGGAACCGAGTATCAACTTCCTGTTTTTAAGTTTTCTGCCTTACGTCTTATTCTTCTTTTCATTTAAAACATTTATATAATAAACCACGACCATGACGGCACACAAAACTAGGTCGCAGGCAGTAAAACGCATAATGTGGTCTACAGGCGGACAGAATTTCGTCGGGGCAGAAAAGGTGGGTGCAGCAGTGCCCCCACCATCCAGGAACCTTATAGCAGTACCACACCCGACACAGCATTTGCCGAAACCGATAAACTCATGTGGCCGGAGCCATAGTAACAAGTCTCAAAATATCTCGCTGGTGAAAAATAAAGCATGGGGGAAGCGCGTGTCGATTAGTGAACATACCTGTACACGCTACGCTTGGCCTCACTTCACAGAAGGCAGACCACTCAGTCGTCAACAAAGATCAAACCTTCGAAGACCGTGGTGTTTGTAAGGAACCGGTGCCGGAGGCTCAAAAAGCCTCTGAGCGCAACTTCTGTCTCAAAAGGGTGCACTGTAACTGTGATAATGGTATACCAGGTCATTACTACAGCCATATGAGGAAGCACCCATGTAGGTGGATGTGGTATGTGCTCAGCATGTCGGAAATTACCTGCTATTACAAAGGTACCCACTGCTAACGGAGTCCTGGTCAGCTGCAACTGGTTTAAGCTTTAACCTGCAAGCTGATTATCTTTGCACACCAGAGGCGATGAAAACCAGCTGCACCGTCAACAGGTATGTAATCACAAAGTATCTACAGAGAAGGACCTAGGACTAGGCGTCCCTGACACACTGGATACCGCTGACAGTCATAAGGGAATGGTAACAAAGGTCGACGCCATCATACAATTTCGAAGGAGGCAGCTTGGATAGTTAACCCCAGAATTGTTCCTTATGGTATTTAAAACCCACGTTAGACCACGCCTAGAGGTGTTCAACACAATAGCCCTCCCCCACTACTGAATAGGGAAGCACATACTCTCGAGGAGATGCAGGGAACAGCAAGAGGGTCAGTTGTCGGAATAACAGGCAAAACATGTGCGCAACCTCCCAGACAGCTCAACTTGTGTCATACTGAGCTACCGGGAGAAACGGTGTGACGCTGATAACAGCCTACAAGATCATCCACCAAGTCGACAACGCAAACCGGTGGACCTTATCGGCCCGAAACCAACAATCCTGTGAGAACTCTACTCTCATACTCCACCACAGGGCAAAGAGGAGAGTAAGATCAAACTCATTCTTACAGGGCATGTGCCTCATGGAACGCCCTGCTCAGGGACGTAGCTACAGCTAAGCCAGCCGATACCTCCAAACTACTGCTATATATGGCGGCAAATGGCTTATTACAAACATCTGTCGGTAGCAAGTGGTGATATGCCCTTCCATCTGTGTATTACGCAGCCCTAGTGTCTTCATTAAGAACCAAGCCCCAAGACCTAGAAGCGAAAGCTCAAGAACTGCTGGCTTCCTCGACTTGTACTACTGGTGCCGGATATTAGGCCCCAAGCTTTCGGGAACGGCAGAGTTCCGGTAGATTCCGCCGGGAGGATCCTGGACTTGGTGACGTCGAAGTCATTCTCCAGCTGGAAAGAGGTTGATCACGCAGCCAGTGAGCTGCAGAAAGTAGGTGACTGTCATCCTCTACCATTATATTTCATGATTTGTCTGTTGGGTTCCTAGTGGAACATGACGCTTCTGTAGAACGTCTTCATCCCACTCTGTTCTCTCTAGTCCTTCCAACCTGGCTCCACGTCTGCCTAGAAGCTTTCATTTCTTCCTCATACAATCTCCTCCATGTCACCCTCACCTCGGACGCCCAACTCGTCACTTCCCATTTAGGTTCCACTCGACGACCTGGCGCTTGATGTCCGCAATCTGCCTTTTCAGTGTATGCCCAATCCAATCCATCTCCACTTCCTTCTGCATATTTGTTCAGTGATAGGTTCTTGGTTGGTTCGTTGTCAGGCCAGAGTTTCTTGTTGCTTATTCTTTCTGGCCATCTGAGTTCAGTAACGAGCCAGCGTAGGCAGTTGTTGATGAATACCTGTAGTTTGTTGGAAATGCTTTTCGTAACGCGTCAAGTCTCTCAACCATCACATAGAAGCACTGACTTGAAAATCCGGATCTTGTTGTTTATGCTGAGTGCAGAAGACCTCCACACTGGTTTCAGGCTGATGAACGCCTGTCTTGCTGTCTTTGCGATCCTGGTTTTAACGTCTCCATCTGAGTCACCGCCTGTAGTTGAGACGATGCTGCCTGAACAGTTTAAAGATGCTACTTGATTTCGATTTCTACAACTGGTGCTGACTGGAGCTTTTTGCTGTTGGTGGTGATTTGGTTGGTATGTTCCTCACCTCTGTTTTCTCTACGTTCATTTGTTGTCCCGCCTTCATTCTCTACCTCTTTTGTCAACGTGTTGGCTTTTGCGTGTAGATCTTCGGGTTTGTGCTTCGAGACACTTGGCACAAATGATCGTCGGCGAGATCAAAATCTTTTGGAATCTTTTGCCCGGTCATGCAGCGTATCCCCCCTTCTCGCTCGTCTCTGTTTGTTACATAATCCAAACCACTACAAACAGGAATATCATGGGTGATAGCATGCAGCCTTGTTTTACTTCTGTCTTCACTCCGAAAGCATCACTGGGCTTCCCATCGTGAATTCCTTGGCATGTAACGTCTTCATATAGTTGTTGAATGAGGTTGATAAATATTTGTGGTATTCCGTAGTGTTGGAGCAGTTGCCAAATTACTTCTCGGTCGATGCTGTCGAAGGCCTTTAGAAGTCGGTAAAGTTGAGGTAAAGATCCAGCGGACAGCCATTCTGTGCTCTGTTCTATGATGACGCGAAGCGTAGGATTGGAATTCGGTCCGCATATGATTTGTTCTCACTGAATCCAGCCTGTTCCGGTAGTAAGTTTTGAATCTAACGCATCTTTTAGTCTCTCCAGGAAAATGCGGCTTAATATTTTGCTTGGACTGGGCAGGAGCACGATTCCTCTGCAGTTCTTGCAAAGACTTAGGTTTGTCAAGGTAGCCCTTCTAATCACTCGGCAGGCACCTCCCCTTCCTTCCAGACCTTCTTCAGTAGTGGTGTGAGCATGTCCGCTGTTGTCTCTGCGTCTGTTCTCAGTGCTTCTGACAGGATTCAATCTGGTCCAGCTGCTTCCCCGCATTTCAGTAGCTTTATGGCGCCCAGGACTTCGACTTTTGTCAGAGGGCTCGTGTTCACTGGTAGGTTTGTGGGTGGGCTGCTGGTGGTATTTCTGGACGAGTTACAGGCAGGCGGTGGTCGATTCAAGAGCTTTTTGAAGTGCTCAGCCCATCGTTTCCTTTGTTCCTCTTCTTTGGTGATTAGGTTTCCTTCGTCATCCGTCATTGGTTTCATGTGTATTGATCTCTTGCTTCTAAGATAATAACCTGGTCACTCGATACAATGTTGTCAGGTCTGTCCCACGACAACCTGTTCTGCTTCACTTGCCAGTGTGTCGTAGAAATGTCTTTTGTCTTTGCGCGTACTCTTCTTCACTTCTTTGCCCGCCGTAATTCTTTATACTTTGTACTCAGTTCCTCCTCTCGTTGTTCATCCTCTCACTGGTTTATCTTTGCTTCACCATCCATCGAATCCCTGTTATTTGCCCTCCTTTTAGTCACCAAAGTAGATGCTTTTAGAATGTCGTGGCTCAGAACAGAATCCAGCAGGGCTATCAAATAAACGAATATTTTATCCTCGTATCAGTGACTTAACATGAGAGAATCCAGTTTACGGGCACCACCGGACTAACATATGCTGGAAAATCTACAAGATTTTGCGGGACCTGATTGGTACAAAAGGAACGTCATGAAATTCTGTCAAAAAGATCAGAATATTCCACAAGTTGTAAGATGGACAAGAAAATACCACCTTTCAGCACATACGGAGTGCTAAAGTTTGGAGCGTTTCCAGTCATACTTTCATTTTCACCGGTGGTAGCACCAGGGTCGCGCAAAATCCCAAGTTTCCAGCGCAAGCAGTAGACATTTTCGATTTATCTTCGTCACACCAGCTAAACGTCTAATTTACCATAAATTCTTATCCTTGTAGCTTCGAAGGCCAAAAGAACTCACGCTGACGATTTAAGGAATCCGTAAGTTTCCCCGTAATCATGTAATCCATCTGAATATCTAACCAGTTGTTGCCATTCATAGCAATATAGACCTACGCCACCGGAATTAGATACTGTGGTACAGAGGCGTAGACATTCGAAGAGCCGCAGACTAATGGCAATGGGTTTTCTGTGCTTTTCACGTTGAGGTATTTAGAATTATTTAGGGGGTATATTCACCGTTAGATGAGGTACTAGGGAAGTCTGTTGCATAGGATCGTTGTGAATATGTTCACTTCCAAGGTAATAGGTGAGCCAATCCCTTGGATTTTACCGCCTGCCTGGATTTTCGTTGCCATCACGACCGCCAAGAAATCTGAGCAATTTGAGGATTGATAAATCTTCGTGTGGTGAGAAAGTCAAATGAGCGAACGGAATTGGTAATTCTTACCTAGTGGACAGTAATTTCCGTACGATTACAGTTTCATCGCTTCGCAAAACAATGTAACTTGTATTCCTTGATGATGCCAGTCTTCAAGGTTTCGGGTTAAATCGTTTGTTCGTTTGGTGTTCGGATTTCCGGATAAATCGGTAAGTTTTCACCATGTTCCAGTTTCTTCACAGTCTTGTGATATCTTCATGTTGCAACTATCTGAAATTCCGGTGGAAAAAACAACGGAAGCAGGTGTAGCTTCTGCACGTTCGAGATTGGAAAATGCTCATGTATTTAGAACGTCCTATTATGTCTGTGGTTTTAAAGGCAGTATTAGTGGTGCTTTTCATTGCACCGTTCTGTGGTGTATAGTTAAGCTATCGTGAAAACCTAGTCAGTGTTTGATTGACGCGCTTCCCTAGGTAGACTGCTCCATATCTGAGCATACGTTATCACATCTATTTCTGAAGATGCATCCGGAGATGTGCTCTTGGTACAGTGGTATGTTAGCGCGGTGCATTCTTGACCGACGGTCATCCGCCCCG